TCCCTCCACCAGGCCGGCACAAAAGCCAGGGAGGCTCGCCTAGGCGCTGACGACTTCAGCCGAGGCGCAGCAGTCTTGGCAGGCCGCGTCCTCCTCCCGCGGCGTCTCTCGCTGGCCGCCCCGATCCGCTCCACCTGCCCCCGGCCCGAAGAGCGGAGAGGCCGACGTCTCCGGCCTTCGGGACGGTCGCGGGGCCCGCCTGCGCTTCGGCCCTGGAGAAGACGCCCGACGGCCTGGCTCGGCTCACCCCAAAGGCGGGCCGGCCGAGCCCCACGGGGCCAGGCGCTTCTCCGACCCAAGCGCGGGACTCGGACGCGCCCGCCGCCAGCTGGACCCCCCTTCCTCTGGAGCGGGGCTCAGGGCCGCGGAGCAGAGGCCGGCTGGCTGGCCGGCAGGAGCCTCGGAGCGCCGCCCGGCTGCGCTTCCCCGCAGGGAGGCTCGGGGCTGGGCGGCGGCAACAAGCCAGGCACCCCGGCAGCGGTCTCGAGGCCAACCGGGCCTCGACTCGGGCGGCTCTGCCCCTGGCTGGTCGGACCCGCCCATCAGGCGCTGGCACCGGTCGGACTCGCCTGCAGCCTCCGAACTGGCCCGGGAGTCTCCAGAGCAGCGTCCTTCGCCGTCGGCGCTAGTCCAGGCGCTTCAGTCCGAAGGCCGAGGGCGCCAGGTCCGAGGGCGTCCGAACCCCAAACCAAGAAGCCACCCCCGCCTCCCCGCCGCCGCCGCCGGACCGCCCCGTTTTCCAAGGGCCCAGAAGGGGCGCGAAACGGAGACTGGATCCCATTCAATCGAAGCAAAATCCGAGCCCACGAATGACGGCGACCCAACCCGGGAGGGAACAGCCGGGGAAACGGAGAAGACGCCGACGAAAGAGCCGCGGGAAGGGCGGGGGCTGCCTTCGCGGGGGGAGCAGGCCAAAGGCCGCCGGAGGAGGGCGTCGCGCCAGATCCGAGGGGGCCGCCAGATCCCCCCGGCGCTCGGCGGAGCGGCCCGGCTTCCTCGGCCGACGGCGCCGCTGTCCGGGCCCAGCTCCGTCCGGCGGGGCTTAAGGGCAGAGATGTCCGGCCGGGGAGAGGGAGACCCCGCAGGGCCCGAGCTCCGGCGCCCCCGATGGCCCCACGGCGAGGGCAGCGGGCGAAGCTGTTCCTGACTTTTCCCCGCCGTCTCTGCAGCGGCGCTGGCCGGATCTCTCCAGGCCCGAAATCTGGAACCCGTCGGCGGAGGGCCAGCTGGAGCGGAAGAGGCCTGCTGGGAGGGCGGGGCGGGCAACGTGGGAGCCACCGGGGCCAGCCGGCGAACCGGAGAGGCCCGGGGCAGCTCCGGGACCGGCCCCTTCGCCCCGCCCCTTTGGAAGGCAGAGCCGGCGCCTGGCCCAAGTTCCGCCCAGCTCCGGGGGCCGGTGGGGCGCCAAGGAACCTCCTCGGGGCCCAAAGGGACAAAGTCCCTCCCCGCTGCCCCTCTGGCTACCCACCCCCGGGGGTCCAGGGTCGCGGGAGAACTGTCCCATTACTAAGTGGGGTGTCGGCGACCCCTGCCAAGCCGAGGCCGCGGGCAAGCGCCGCTGGCGGAAGCGGAGGGCCCGGGCGCTCCCCAGTCAGCAGAGGCGCTCGTGAAATCCGGCCAAAGGTTCTCTCCGCGGGAGGCCCGGGGCTGGGCTGGAGAGGGCAAAGCCTGCGGGGGGGGGGCGAGGGGTCTCCCCAGGCTGAAGGCCTCCCGGCAGGCGGCAGATTTGGAGAACTACTGGCTCACAGGGCGCGCGGGGGGGGGGAATTTCGCTTGATAAAGAGGGGAACGGGCAGGCCAAAAGGATCAACTGTGGTAGAGTCCACGGGCCGGGTATAAGTTTAATAATAAGAATAATAAAAATAAATAATTTAGGCCGGACTGTTTCTCAGGTTCTCCCTATAAATAACCACCCAACGTGGGAAAACGGCCGCAGACAGCGCGGGCGAGGAGGAAGCCGCCCCTCACTCACCACTGAGCCGCCCAGTCCAACCCACCTCAGCCCCGGGCGGCGGGACCCTCTTCGCTTCAGGCAGGGGAGCCGGAGCCTCTCCGGAGAGCCCTCCGTTCGGGAGGCACCTGCTGGCCTGGGCCGGGCCTCCCGCAGCTCCCAGGCAGGCAGAAACGGGCGCGCGGAGAGAGACGCCCCGGCAGCGGCCTTCTTGCCCGTTGTTCGAGGGGAAAGCTGGGCTGGCCTGGGGCAGAGGCAGCGACCCCGGACTCGGTGGTCTCTGGGGACCTGTGCTCTCCCTCCAAGGAAGCCAATGGGATCCGATGCCAGAGTTCTCCGTATCTGAAACGGCCGGAACTGTCCAGCGTGACGCACACACGCACGCCCCCTCCCCGCGAAGCTGCCTGGAAGCCCCGATCCCTGGAGCGTCTGCCCCGATCCCGTGTGAGGGTTGCCGGTTCCCCGCTCTGTCCAAATTTCAGGCGTCCTCCGCGCTGGTCTCAAAGGGGAAGCAGAAGAGGCGGCCGAACAGCGAGCGAGGCTTGGACCCCGAGGTTTAGGATCCCCCCTGCCCCTCCGAGAGCCTCCCGGACATCCTCGGCCAGGAGGGGGAACGGGGCCCCCACGACGGCCGGGGTCGCTGAAGGCGCTCCACCAGCCCCGAGCAGAGAGGCAGCCTTCTGCTGCGCCGGAGCCGCGCCCGCTTCGCCTCCGGCGTTTTCCCTTCCCGCCGCTCCGAGTCTTCGGAGTCGCGCGTGGGCGGCCGCTTTTCTGCTCTCCCGGGGGGCCAGCAGCCCCGGCCCCGCACGGGGAAGCGGCCCGGAAGAGAGGCCCGGCCAGGAGGCGCCGCAGGTGGAAAGGGCAGGCGCCGCCAGAGGGAACCCGCGGGTGGGTGGGCGGCCGGAGGCACAGAAGCCTCCCGGCACCTCCGAGGACGCCTGGCTCGGAAGGGGAGGCCTCCTGCTGCAGAGGCCTCGGGGGGGGGGGGCAGGTGAGATGGCGCCGATCGCCCAGCCCCTCCGCTTTGCCTCCAGGGCCGGTCTCTTCGCTCGCAAGGCTGAGCCGGCCTTGGGGGGGGAGGGGTCGTTAGCCTCTGACCCACCAGCGACCGTCCCTCTCCCCACCCCTCCCGGAGCGCCCCCGGAGCCTTCGAGGAAGCAGCTCCTGCATTCGGAACAGTCCAGGCGCGTTACCGGGAGGGCGTCGAGGCGCGGGCTGCCGCAAGCCCGCACGGGGCTGCTGTCGCAAGACCAAATTTGCAGAGTCACGCACCCCCCCCTTCTCCGATCTGGGGGCGAAGACCTGGTCGTTGGAAACAGGGCGGGGAGGGCGCGGTTTGTCCTCGGACTCTCCTTCAAAGTCTTTGGCTAGTTGCGATGCTGGCGGATCCCGAGGCTGGGAAAGCTGCGTAGGCGTCCCCGCCCCACCTCGGGCCAAGAGCCCCCCTCCGCAGAGGGGCAGCCGGCCCGGTCCTTCGAGGAGAGGCGGAGATCTCGCGGGCGGCCAAGCTGGGTCCGCACCGCCCGGGAGGGCGACCGAGCGCCGGGGCCGAACCCAGGGCGGCGTTCCAAAGACCTCCGTGGGAAACGGGCGCGGAACGCAGCCCAGGTCGGCCTGCCTTCGGCCGCTCCCCAGAAAGGACAGGCGGCGTTCGCCGGCGTTGCTCGCGGAGAAAAGGAGGCCCGGCGAGCGGCCACGGGGGACACGGCGGCCGAGTCCTCTCGCGCTGCGCTCCCGGCGCCCGGACGGCGGCTCAGCAGACGCTTGCCCGGGCCGGCGGAGAGGGGCGGGAAGGGCAGGCCGGAGGGGGCGGGTGTTTCTCAAGGCGCACCTTCTGGCCCTGGCGCGGCCCCGCCCCTCCTCGCCCCCTTTGCCAGGGGAGTCTCACCCAAAATCCCTTTTTGGACCCTCCACACCAAAGGACAGCAAAATGGCTGCACGGATCGCGCTTCCTCTGCGCGACGTAATGCAGATGCGATCGCCCACCGACGGCTACTAAACTCCCGAGGACGCCGGAGGTGGTTGCTGGCCAAGGTGCCAGAAATGCCTCGACAAATCTGGGGACGAAGTTCACGGCCACACCTTCGCTTTCCGAAAGGGAGCGCGGAGAAGCCTTCCCGAGAAGGGGCGGGGGAGTCCTCACGTACTGGAGGGCCGGAGGGGCAGAGGCGGCTAGGCAGCTAGAAGGCTTCGGCTGGAGACCTTCCGGGGACCCCGCAGGAAGTCTGGGGGCGCCCGCGAGGACCGGTTCCCTTCCCCGAGCCTCCGCCTGCAAGACGGCCGGCCCGCCCGCCGGGGGAAGGGGCCGGACGAGCTCGGCTCCAGTAGCTCCGCGCTCCCGCCGGCTCCCTCGAGATGTACGCGCTTCTGAACCGGCTTCCCGGCGGGCGCCTTGGGAGAGGGCCCTCCTTTAGGCCGACGCCAGCCTAAAGGAGGGTCGCCGGGCGGGGGAGGAGGGCTGGCCCCGGAGGCGTTCCGCTGCTGGCGCAAGCCGGGGTGCCGTCCCGGGCCGCCGACGGACTCGGGGCGGACCGGCGGCATTTGGCAACTCAGCGACCGGACTTGCCTGGGAGGGAACCGCGGAGGCCGGGGCCTTTGCTCGGGGAAACGCTTGGAAGGCTCGGGACTTTATTCGGGGCGACGATGCGCAGCTCCTCCCCATTCAGCTCCGCCGGAATCCAAGCGAAGCGCCCGCCGCCGCTTCCCTCCGGGGCAGCAACAGCCACCGGGGGGGCGGCGGCAGGTCCCGTCCGGCGGGGCGGCAACAATCTTCGGTGCAGCGACAGCCGCAGAACGTCCCGAAAGGGCTCCTCGGAAGCGCCGCGCCCGAGCCAGCCGCCCTCTCGGCCCCGCCGCCTCTTCCCGGCCGAAGGCCCGCCGCCCGCCCGCCCGCCCCGCCCGGGACCCTCGCTGCGCGCCGCGTCCAATGGGAAGGCAGAGGCCCACCCCTCGGCGCGCGGATTGGCCGGCGGGACAGGCGCCTCGCTTTATTAGCCGCGCCGCGGAAAGTGTCCCGGAGTGCAGCCGCGCGCGGTCCCGGCCCCGCCGTCGCCCTGGCCCGCTCCAGGCGCGCCCCCCGCGCCGCCGCCGCCGCCGCCGCCGCTGCATGGCCCCCGGGCCCGCCATGACTTCGGTGCAGTGCGCAGCCCGAGCCGAGGAGCCGCCGGCCCAGCCCCGCAGCAAGGCGGGCCCCGCGGGCGCCATGCGGGCCGAGGAGGCGGAGGAGGAGGAGGAGGAGGGCGAGGAGGAGGAGGGCGAGAAGCCCCGCGCGGCTCTGCTGCCCTTCAGCGTGGAGGCGCTCATGGCCGAGCCCCGCAAGCCTGGGAGCGGCGCCCGCGAGGGCCTGACCGAGCGCGGAGGGCACGCGGCTCGCCCGCCGGCAGCCCCCAGTCCCCGGCCCAGGAGGGCTTCCGCCTCGCCGCCGGCCCTGCCCGGCCCGTTCGGCGCCGGAGCCTTCGTGAAAGTTCCCGCGGAAGCGCCGGTCAAGGCCGAAAGCCCGCCCTGGAGGCCCGCCCGCCGCTTCTCCCCGTCGCCGCCAAGTAAGTGGCCCCGCCGCCGCCGCCGCCGCCGCCCGTGCCCGCCCCTCGCCCCGCCGCCGCCGCCGCCGGGAGGAGGTGGAAGGCCGAAGCCGCTGGGCAGAAGGGGGGGACTCCTTTACTGGGGCTCCCCGCTCTTCCAGCTCGGCTGAAGGGTGCTCGCCGCGCGCCGGGGGGGACTCGGCGCGGACCTTTCCCGGCGCGGTTCCCGGTCGGGTTCCAGGCGCCCCGGCTCCCGGTCTCGCCTGCCCAGCGGCTGCCCTGGGAAGTCCCCTGCGGGAAGGCCCGGGGTCCTGGCCATCGGCTGCGAGGCCGGCCCTCCCAGGCCTCGCTCCCCAGAACCGGTGACTGACCAAAGGCCCAAAGTCCTCTTGGGCTTCGAGGACCCTCCAGCGTCCCGAGGCTTGGCTCGACCTTTGGCCCCTGCCTGCCTGCCTGCCTCTTCCCAGCCCAGAATTCCTCCCAAGCGCCCTTCGGCAAGGGGCTTGCTTTGACCCCCCCAAGGCTCTTCCCAGACTGCGGCCCCTGATAGGTTCTGCTGGAGAGAATGCCCCCCCCCGCCTCAGAGCTGTGCAGCCCCACGGGAATCGGCCCAGCCCCTTCCCATTTGGGTGCCAGCCCAGCAACGCTTCTATGAGCTGGAGCTGCTTTTCCCCAAGGAAAGTCAGTCCTTGAGACCCCCAGTCAGGGGTGCTGCCCAGGGAAGCCCAACCACCACCGCTTGCCGCCTCCTGGGTCTGGCTGCTGATAGGGTGTGTGTGAACGCCTGCCTGTGTTGTGTCTACACACCCTGAATCCCCAGTCTTGGTGCCTTGGAGTTAGTGTGAAAACTGTGGTGTCCAAATTATCTGCCTGAAGGGTCCTGGGAACCATTCCTTGCCGCCTTCCAGGTGTTTTCTGCTCCCGAGCCAGGTGTGAGTTTCTGTCCTGCTCTGGATAGAATGGAAGGGCAGGGAAGAAAGCCCGGCATAAATCAGTGCAGAGCAGCAGTTGGAAAACACAAGCAGTAGAATAGAAACCAGGGTATTATTAGTATTATCCCTGCGGCCCAAAATAGGGGCATTAAAACAAAACAGAATAGGGGGCATTAAGCAGAATCGGCTCCTCCTGCAAAGACGCAGCTGCCTTACCCAGAAGGAGTTTGGCAGCCCCCCTTCCAGCCAAGATTTTATGAAACATCGTTGGGGCTTTTTTAATATATATATAAATGTGTTAGAAAAGAGGCTCTCAAGTCTTCTGCTTTTCTGCTCCCTTAGGCTCAGAGGCTCCCTTTCACAGTGAGTGTGCAAGGGCACAACTGCACGCCAGCGGCTTTTCTCTCTCCATGTAAGTGGAGTGGGCCTCTCCCTGGCTCAGTGGGAAGATCCAGAATGAATCCGATTTATTTATCCCTTGTTCACATGGCCCACAACAACATTCCTTGAACTCAGATGGAAGATAGTTCAGAAAGATCCCATCTGCCTTCAAGGCACAGTTTCTGGAGGGGAAATCTCCAAGACCCCCTCCTGGGCACCCCCCAAGTGCTTGAGCAGGAGGGAGGGAGGAAGGAAGGAGCACCACCATCCCTTCATGTCTGTAATGGGGGGCAAGCTGCATTTCCCCCCCCCAGGAGATGTGGGGAAGGCGGGAGAGGGGCTGTCTTTCCAGATCTCCTCCCACCTTTCCTGTCCGCTGCTTTCTCCCCACACCACCTCTTTAGACCAAGATGCTGAGAAGAGGCCGGGCACTTTCAGCCCCAACACTCCTGGGGTATCCCCCCTTCTCTGACCGATGGCGGAGAGGAAAGCAAACCCTGCCCGGTTTAACCTGGACTTCCTTTCCAAGCCCATCCGGGAGGGGAGAGCCTGGGGGGGGGGGTCCTGCCACCTTCTCCATCTAGGAATGAGGCAAAAGGCCCTCCTACTGCTAGGGGGGGGGGAGCTGAAGCAGGCCCCTTCCTCTATCTTTTTCTCTCTGGGAATTTCCCGAGGGAGGGAAAAGGGAGCCCTCCCTCCTTTTAAGGCCCCAGACCTCAGGCCGAATCGCCCAGAAGCTCCCGGCCTCCATCCCAGGATCGACTCTGCCCTCCCTCTCCGGGCAATTTCACTTGGATCCTGAGCCAGGCCAAAGGCTGCAGAAGGAGGGGTGGAAGCTGCAAGCGGAGGTCCCGGGAACATTCGGCGTCCCTCGGAGCCTTTCCGACCCAGGGGCACTTTGCAGATGAACCAAACCGGACCCGAGCCTGGTGGTGGGGGGGGTAAGGGCTCCATCCGCTGGTCCGAGGCGTCCAGCGGTAGAGATGGCTGGGGCGCGGGAGGAGGCAATGGGCCTTGGGACGAGACGGGACGGACTCCCCTCTCAAGGACCGCTCTTTCTCTCCCTTCTTCTCTCGCAGGGCGCTCCAGCCCGCCGGCCTGCACGCTCCGCAAGCACAAGACCAACCGCAAGCCCCGCACGCCCTTCACCACGGCGCAACTCCTGGCGCTGGAGCGCAAGTTCCGCCAGAAGCAGTACCTCTCCATCGCCGAGCGCGCCGAGTTCTCCAGCTCGCTCAGCCTCACCGAGACGCAGGTGAAGATCTGGTTCCAGAACCGGCGCGCCAAGGCCAAGCGGCTGCAGGAGGCCGAGCTGGAGAAGCTGAAGATGGCCGCCAAGCCGCTCCTGCCGCCCGCCGCCGCCGCCGCCTTCGGCCTCTCCTTCCCGCTGGGCAGCCCGGCCGTGGCCGGCGCCTCCCTCTACGCCTCCGGAGGCCCCTTCCAGCGCGCCGCCATGCCCGTGACGCCCGTCGGGCTCTACGCGGCGGCGCACGTCGGCTACAGCATGTACCACCTGGCCTAGGCCGAGCGCGGGAGCGGCCCGGACCCTCCGCTGCCCCGGCGGGGCCGCCCCGGACGGACGAGGCGCCGCGGCTCTCGGCGGCCTCCCCGCGAGAGAGGAGCGCGGCGCCCCGTGTACCATACTGTACAGTCGAAAAAGTTATTATCGTTTATATTAATAGCTATATTTGATAAATAAATTAATTTTAAACGACCGCGGGGTGAGCGGGTTGGGCGCCCCCTTCCTCCCCGCCGGCCCGCGAGATCGGCGCGTCCCTCTCCGCTCCGCGGCGGCTCGGCTGCCGGCCGGCCTTGCGCTCTGGGCGAAGACCCGGCCCGCTTCCCCCGGCCTCTTCAGCCGCCCGGCCCGGGGTTGCGTAACCCCCGCCGTTCACGTGCGAGCGGATCCACACGCGCCGAATTTCCTCTGCGGGACGCCCCCGAGCCTTTCTGTGCGGGGGGGGGAGGGATTCGCAGCTCCGTGGAAAAGCGGCTTCCGCAGCCTCTTCCTCCGCTTTCCCTCGGATCTGGCAGCGCCGATCAAAACCAGGCGGCCCTTTGCGAATTAGAGGTGCAGGAAGCCCCGCTCTGCCTGGCAGAATATGTGCTGTACCCCCAATTAAGCAAAAATTCATCCTTTCGGGTGCCCGTTTACTTGGAAGCAAATTCTATCGAATTCAGAAAGGCCTCCTCCCGGATGGAGGGTTCACTTCCAGGGGAGCCTGCGCTAAAGGCAACGAAGGGGGCTCCCATTTTTGGCGAGGTCTCGAGGGAACGAACCCCTCAGGGGGCCTAAAAGTAACGGTCTCCCGGCTATGGTCGCCCGACGACCGGCGGGGCTTCTGGCTGCCGAGAAGCCCACCTGGCCCAGGCAGAGCCGGCTTGGCCCCTGCAGGGAAAGGCGGTAAGCGGGGAGGAGAGAATCGCGCCGCGGCCCTCAGAAAAGCCGGGACGGGAAGACGCGGGAAGGCCGGCGCAGGGCTGGCAGCTCTTTCCGCCTCCTTCTCTCGCGGAAAGCCGACTCGCGGCCGGCCGAGTCCCGGGTCAAGGGCGCGCCCGACCGGCCGAGGCGTGCAGCCCTCCGAGCGCGCGACTGGCGGAGAGGAGGGCGATGGGCGACTCTGGCCCCGCCTGGAGAAGGAAGAGTCGGCCGCGGCCTCGGGGTGGCTTCTCCGGGGGCGCCGCCGCCGCGATTCCGCAGGGGGCAGGTGGCGAAGGCTCGGCGGGGCGGATGGGTGCCGTTGTAGCGCCCGGGGAAGCGTCGCCTGCTTGACCCACGGCCGGCGGGGGAGAGCGGTGCCGGGGAGCCTCCGCCGTGGGGAGGTCCTGCCACTCTCTTTCGACGGCGGAGGCTTCCCGGGAGCGACGTCGAGAGCCGGAAAGCAGGAGCGGCCGCCGGACAGGTCGCGGTGGAGGGCCGACTTTGCGGTCGACGCCGCCACTAGCTGTTCCTTCTGTGTGCGGAGCGAAGCGCTTCGGCTGCGCCGTGGAAGCGCCTCCCCAGAGTCTTTCCGGTGACGGATCCAGGCCCGCCACCGGCGCTGCGCTTGAAGAGAGACCGGGCCTCCTGCTGCGTCAACCGAAAAGTGGAGCTGCCGTCCTCGACCTTTCCGAAAGCAGCGAGTGCAGATGCGCTGCTGAAATGTTCGAAATCCAACTTTTCTGCTTTTTGAAACGCTACAACTTTGGTGTGTGTGTGTGTGTGTGTGTGTGTGTGTGTGTGTGTGTGTGTGTAGAGACAGACAGATAGACAGATACCGCTCCGTCCAGAAGCCTAGATTTGGAGCTTAAATCCTTGCAGTCCGGAGCAAGAGAGAAGCCGCGACCTCCTCCTGCGGGAGATTCTCTGCCGGCTCCGGAGACCCCTCTTTCAGTCCCGGGTCCTCTTCATTGTTACCCGCGCTCTCCGGGTCCTCCTTCAAGGGCAGAGCCGAGACTCGGCCTTGGCGCTCAGGTTGGGGTCGGACGGAAGCAGGATAACGCGGAGCGATTTGGGAAGGGCGCTTCTGTTCATGCCGCCGGCGCTCAGGCCTCTCCCGCTGTTGTCAAGCCGGCTCCGAGGGAGTCACCGCGCTTCCAAAGCGTTTCTGCACGAGCCCAGCCCCTCGCTGTTAAACCCTTCGGGCAAGGCATCGCCCACCCTGCACCCAGCCTGGCACCCGGTCTGGTCAGTTCCTGCCTGCACCTCCCTCTGGAGGACGGTTGTTGGAGACCTCTGAATAATCCTGCTGTGGACACACACACACACACACACACACACACACACACGGCCCTTGACTAGACACGTGTGCACGCACACACCCGCCCTGGCGCTACCCAGGCACCAGGAGATAGAAGCGCCAAGGGACCCACCCACTTTGTCCATTAGAAAAGTCAAGGTGGCAATTTCATTTTATTCACTTTAGGGCTGAGCTTGAATCCTGTGGCCCTGGCTGCCATCTTGACTTTTCTTTTGATGTGCCCACCCACGGACACTCTGCTATTAGTCCAAGCTCAGTTATTTCCACTGTAGTTTGTTTCATTGATCAATGTCAGGCAGAAAAGACCAGTTCCACATTAAGAGCCAATTAAACTGATTTATTGCTAGAAAGTCTTTGCGCAGGAATCTTGTCAACTAATGATTAGCACCAGCTAGGAGTAAGATAAGGGTCCACGGAATTCAAGGGGGGGGGGTTGGACTTAACTTGTGACTACATAAGGATTCAAGGCTGATCCCTCTTTTTAACTCCAACCCAGGTTCTGCCACTCCTTTTCCTACAACCCTTATTTGCCAAGATTTTATGCCTCAATAGATAATCCCAAAGGTGTTTTTTTTCATAAGGCAAGTGGACTTTCTTGGTTTTCTTTGAAGACCGTTTTACTTCTCATCCAAGATGGCTGGATACATACTCCTGGCAGTCAGCTGGTCTTCTGCATTCTTTTAGTGAGTTGTTGAAGGCCCTGGGGGCACAGGACCAGCTGTCTGCAAGGACTATAAATCCTTCCATTCCCCACCATCCAGTCAGAGCTGAAGAAACTTCTGGGATGAGAAGCGAAACGTCTTCAAAGAAAAACAAGAAAATCCAGTTGCCTCCTGAAAAAGCACCTGGAAAATATGACCTGGATGGCTGAGAATCTCCACAGACACTTAGAAGACCATATACTTTGGCTGGAAACCACCAAGCTCCTCCTCTCCACATGTTAGGCAGCCGGGAGAGGTTTGGGTAGAGGAAAACGGCATTGCAGCCCTCTGAATGCCTGCTAGAATCACCAGCCCGCAGACAGGAGGCCCTGTGGCCCCGTGGCCTGTGCGGCGTGGCTGCCAGAGCTGGCCTCCCTTGGTTCCCAGGTTTCAGTCTGGCATTTGCACAGACCTTTCTGCATTTTTTATGTTCAGGGGTGTCACAATTTCACTTGTTCTTTATGATGGTGCATCCAACCAGTTTCCCTGATGTGGACCTTAAATTGCTGCTCTAACATTTTAATTCTCCCTGAAGAGATTTCATATGTGCTGAGACCATCTGCAGCTCTGAGACTATCTGAGATTCTCAAGCTCTTTCCTTCCTTCCTTCCTTCCTTCCTTCCTTCCTTCCTTCCTTGCCTCCCAATCTTTTTGCTCTCCTATTTGGGGAACAGAGTCAGGTGGGTGGGGCCATGGATTATCTGTTTGACAAATGTGACGGAGGAACACACTGTATTTTAACCCCTAGTCGGCTGCCGCCCTCAGCCCAAGGCCTCCTCCGTCCCTCTGCGGGACTCCCCGCTGTTCTCCCGGTGGCGAGCAGGCGGGTGCGGAGGCGCCGCGGCCCCTTCCGGACCGTCTCCCCTCGGGTTCCGCCCAGGGACCGGGTCGCTTGAGGAGAGGAAGCTGATTGGCCCCCGAGCGACCGCCTCTCCCACCTCCCTCCCTTGGGAAAGCAGCTGGCAAAGAGCCGAGAAAGGTCCTCCCGGCGTCGTTTTTTGTTGCCCCCGCCCAGTAAGGGAAAGCGGGCTGTCAGCGCCCCCGTTGCCCCCGCAGGAATCGCCGCCTCTGCCGCAGCGGCGGAATTGCCTTTGCCTGGAAGCCGGGGTGGAAGGAGGGAGCGAGGGGGGACCGGCTCCGGGGGCTCGGAGGAGGAAGAGGGAGGGAGGGAGGGCCGCTTCCCACCGGGGCCTCCACAGGGCTCCTGCAGCAGGTCAGCTGAGCTTCCCTCCAGCGCCACCGGGGGCCGAGTGCGGAGGCTCTGACGGGACGAGGCTGCATTTCAAGGGGAAGCGGATGGGCCTCGGGCCGCCGAGCGAGAGAGGCTGGGACGCGGCTTAATTTAAATCGTAGGCGGAGATGAGCGAAGAGGGGAAGGCCGCAGTTCTCGGAGACCAGCTGAGAGGGAAGCTGAAAGAGAGAGACTGCGGAAGGGAAGGGAGGCGGAAGAAGGGAAGGGGGAAATGGGGCAATCGGGCAAAAACAGGATCAGGAAGCCGTCTTCCCAGAGAGCCAATGAGAGGAAAAAAGAAACTTCAGCTTGGAGTCCCCAGCTGGGGGTGGGGGGGGTGTTCTTCTTTTGAAATGCAGGCATGGAAGGTTCTGGTGGGGGGGATTGTCCCTCTGCTGGTCCCTCTTCCTGTCCTGCTCTTCGTAAACTGGCTACCTGGGGGACATCAAGGAGGCCAGATCCAAGCTCCCCCCTTTGTAGGGGGGGGGGGTTGCTGCATGCAAATGAAGAACAGAGGCTCCTTTGGACGGCAGGTTTCGCTTCCTCCTTGGGGAGGGAAAAGTCGGGGGGAGCAAGGAAGGCGAGAGTCCTCTTCCCCCTGGCCTTATGGGGGGAGGGGGGGGGGGCTGGAGGCCTCAGGCCTGGGCTTGGCTTGGTGATTTATACCTAGGGCTCTTTCCACACCATTGAGCAATCTCCTTCCAGCTGCTTTTCTGAGGAAATAAATGACTTTTCTGCTTCCTTTGAAACGAGGCCCTTGTGGTCTCCTGGCTGGCTGGCTGGCTGGGTCTTCCGCATCCTTCTCAAGCTGCGCTGCACCCCGTGAATCTGTGCAGGAGCCTGTGTGGTTTCCGTGGCCACGGCGGGGGGGGCACCCAGAAGGGCTGCCAAGACGGAGACCCAAATATCTAAGGGTCCTCAGCTGCTCCTTTTCCCTTTGGGGCCGGCTCTGCCTCTCTGCGAACGGAGCTCCTTCCGCGGCTGCATTCAGAGACGGCAACGACTCGGTCTCGGAGCTGGCTTAGATTCCAAAAGAGCCTCTC